CCAATGGAGAGCAATGACGGCTGCCCCTTAAATAGCGAGGCGCTAGCAGAACACGAGACTCTGTTGTGGACACGCTGCCGACTACAGGACTGCTGCTTAGAAGAGACCGACCACAGAAGGTTACTGGTGGACGCACGGACAAGAGTTCATGTACTAGTACCAGTGACAGTAAAGTACTACTCGTTATCCCATTCTGTCTTCTCTTCCTAACACGCACTGGGGGAACATAACCGGTGTTCACACAGGAACACACGCGGTTACAACAGTAGCGACGCAGGTGAGATAACCAGTTTTGACACAGGAACACACGCGGTTACAACAGGTATGGCCTCCTAAGGTCATATAAAACCAGAGCCACGTCTCCTCTCCCACTAACCCATACAAGCTTTCCGAAGAATAGTGTCACCCTGCGTGACGTTATTGTTGAACTTGCGTTGTTCCCTTGTATAGAGTCCGGCGATTTGGTCGGTTCCCTTCGCTCTTGACTTGGTGTATCCATTGTTGTGGTTTGTACTTTGATTATGCTTTACTATTTGTTTAATAGTACCGTACCACCTTGATAGTTGTTATCATTGAGTTTGACATACTCGTGGCTGCTGGAACCAGTCGGAGAAGTCAAGAGACGGAACAAGGCACATTATTTGGCACGCATACTTAAAAGAAAACAGAAATTTCCCAAAATCCTCATTTTCAATGCATGTTACTTGAATTACAGGCACTAAGCATAAAAACAGGGCACGACCAAAACATTTAAGGTAGACTCAAATGGGCCTTTGATCAATCCTTTCAGGGTGATAGTAAGTCAAAAAACCTTCCAAAATTATTTACTAGACTTCAATTGCAATCCTTCGAGAATATTGGTCTTTAACGCTTTCATAAAGCACTAGGGTTTATTTGGAATATGTTTTACTTTTTTTTTTTAAAAAGTACACCTACCCGCTGATTCCATTATCCAAATGGGTTTGCCAAGTGAAGTAGAAAGTGCGGAATAGCCGAGTCCTAAGCAGGCGCCACACAGAAGGGAGACTGAAAAAACCGTATAGGACGCAAGGAAGAAGCTTATACTGCCTTGATTGGGCGAGAGCGAGACACCAACCATCCAATGGGCGTTGTTTGAAAAGAAGCTCACCAACATTTCTGAACAAAAGATGCACCAAAAAACGCGATATCGAAATAACCGCAGGACATATAAACTACTTGATCCCAAAAATTGTCGATTCGTCTTGCGCTATTTGAAGAAATGCTCATAGGGTTAACTGTCGTCTTGTTGGTTAACGTTAACGAACTAAATGCGGTATTCCACATTTAAGAACTAGTCTGCTCGTGGTTAAACTCGAGTTAACGGAAC